TACCGACCCTGGCGAGTGGAAGTGACTCCAGTGGCTTTTGCCTGGCAGTCTCGGTCCCTGTCCTCTCAAGGTTGCCTGACGCCAGGCCACAGAGGTCTCAGTGAGCCCCTGCATAGTGCCTTCACGGAGTGCGTTTGGCCCCCTTGCTGGCACCGGAGCTCGCTGCTCACTGTGTCACCTTAGAGCGCATGGCGACGCGCCGGCGCTCCAGGTCCGTCAGAGCACGGGAGGAAGGGCGGAAGAGTCATGCGAGCCTGGGGTAATGTCTAAGCCTGAGGGATGGGGAGGCTGCGTTCTTCAGAGTCCGACTGCGCAGGAGAAAAGAGCGGCCTCGGCATCAGGCTTGCATCCAGCAGGCCCGCTGGATCAACCTGCCAGAGCCTCAGTTTCCTCACCCGCAAGGTGGGCGAGCCACACCCACCAAAGTGCCTGGCCCTTAGTAAACGAGGAGCAGAGAGAGGCCTTTCCCCACGACCACCGCCAGCCGCGGGCCCCAGAGTGGACACCCCACTTTCCCGTGGCTCCAACAGTAGGTTTCTGACGAGCCGGGGGCAAACTGAGGCCGAGGCCGCCCGCACACCCTCACACCCAGAGCAGGTGTGGGCGGCCGCGGCTTGGGCGGGCTTGACGGCCGCTCGCAGCCTCTGCCGCAGCCTCGGCGCCTTGTCCCACTGGGGTCAGCGCCGCCGTGGGGGGCACCGGCGCCGGCCCCGCGCGCCCGGGCGCGTGCCCAGCGCGCGTCACGTGGCGGAGTGTGACTACGGGGCCGCGCACAGCTCGCCCCGGAACACGTCTGTTTCCCGTCGTCCCCTCATTTGCATATGCAATGTAGACAAGGGATTGGGGACTATTAACGAATTTATTCCGAGCTAAACTAAAAATATACTAATACGCAAATAGAAGTCAAGAGGCACTAACTTGTAGAGCCGTTAAAATGGAAAACACGGTCCAGGCTTCTCACCGTAACCTGGAAGGTTTCACTCGTTTTGCCTTAATATAGGCCCCGAGCAGAGCCGGGCGTCGTGCTCGCTTCGGCAGCACATATACTAAAATTGGAACGATACAGAGAAGATTAGCATGGCCCCTGCGCAAGGATGACACGCAAATTCGTGAAGCGTTCCATATTTTCCTGCCCGTCCCCGCGGGTCGGGACCGCACTCCCCACGGCGGCTGAGGTGTGGCCGGCAGAGCTCGGCGGCGCACGGTGCTTTATTTTCCCTCTGAGACAGGTCTCACACCCCCCCGCCCGCGAGTCTGCCACGCGGCCTACGACCCCCCCAGGCTGAAGAGCCCCCGGCCCCGCCGCCCCTTCGCTGGGCCTGCAGGCCCGCGGCCTCCCCGCGGCCTGCTCCCCAACGCTCCCCCACCCTCCACCACGGCCTCTCGCTTCCCTCCCACACGGCGAGACCCGAAACCAGGCCTGCACGCAGAACTGCCCGGCCTGCTCGCTGTTCCACTGCCAAGTAACCAAAAGACAAAAAATAATAATAATTCCTAATTATCCGAACGAAGGCGAAAGCACGGCCCTGCTCGGCTTCAACTTTCCCGCGCTGGTTTACCCGAGGCCTTCTGAAATACCAGCTTCTCGCGCAGAGAACACCGGTGTGCGGCTTCGCGGGCGCCCGAGCCCGCGCGTGGGTTCTGCAGGACGCCAGGGCCCCCCGGGCCCCCGCAGGGCACCCGTGGTCACACCGGAGGGCCGGGGCGGCTGGGCGGACTCCCCGGGCCGCCGCTGGCTGCAGAGCGGCACCGAGGATTCGGAGGTGACCCTTCCCGACCACAGTGGCTAAACAAGATCTGTGGGTCTCCTCCTTGCACCTCGGCTCTCGGCCTTCCTCTACGCACCGACTGCAAGACGATTCTGTTGAAGTCAGATGTCTGGGTCAAAAGTTTGAAACTACCTCCCAGAGTGCTGCCAATCAAAGACACCGCCATACTGGTGCCTCCTTTAGAAAGGCCCGCAGGATCGCTGGCTGGGACGGAGTGGTTTAGGAACTCAACCCTCCGAGAAGCCCCGCATTCTTCTCCACATGGCCTGCCATTCTGCTGGAGTATGCAGCCCTGAGGGCTGGAAGAATCTGAAGCCCTGGCTGCCTTCCCTGGCTCTGCTTTGACTTGCTCAAAGAACTTGGGCCAGTCTCTTGCCCCGCTGGCCACCTGTAGCCAACAAATGTTGGTGCCTTCGGATATCTTTCCAACCTGGCTCTTCGTGGATACTTTCCAGTGTCTCCAGAAAGTTCCGAAGTCCAGGCTGGAGAGAGCATTGGCTTGTCTCCCTTCCTAGGCCCTCGAGGAATAGAGGGCCACGAGGAAATGCATGGCAGAGAGCGGCGGCCTTTTCTGTCACACACAGACGGACTGTCCTCTAGGCTTTGCATTCATTAATTAGCTTGCTACGCCTACAAACCAGTTATATGAAGTCGTGCGATAAGCAGAAACACAGAGCTCCAATACAGGTCCCCGCCACACTAGGCGGCAGCGGAGCCTCGGTGAGTACCGTTCCATAGTCTGTGCAGTTAGCAACCACTGCGGGCTCGGGGAGGCCGTGTAGAGTGAACCCAAGTGCAGAGAGGGCAGGAAGCGCAGCTTTGCTTGTACTGGTGATCTGGGTTCTAGGTGGGAGCTGCATATCCGCAAGGAATGAAGCTTGCACTGTGTGGCAGGGTGTCGGGGAATGAGTGGGTGGCGGGGAATGAGTGGGCGCACCGGCGGCCGCGCACCCGCCAAGTGTGAGCCAGTGTCCTGAGACACAGTTGGGACAGGAGGAAGGTTTTCCTTTCCTGTGTTGACAATAAATCACACCCTACCCCAACACTAATTCCACTGATGAAGGACCTTCTTTGTGAGCAGCAAGCTTCTGCTTAATTAACCTCATGTAAATGAGCATAATTGCTTCTCAGTGGCTGTTGTCCAGAAGCACCTGGGGATTCCTTCCCTCAGACGATTCCTGCACCTAGGCAAATTCTCCCCTCACGTGGACATTCCTCGTGAGCACTGCCATGCCTGCGGTGCACCGTGGGGGCGGCAAGGAAGAATCGGGTGACCTCGGCCATCTCAAGCACACTCACACGGAACAAGGAGGCGAGTACCGTGAGGCGCGATATGGAACCCACTGGCAGAGGAGGCAGAAGCGGGAACAATTTGCTGTTGTCTCAAGGGCATAAAGACGTCTCTCAGCTCGGTCTCTCTCGCAGAGTTTGCCGCTGGTGGAGAGCGGCAGTCTGTCCCACACCGCTCCCAAAGGGGATGCAATTCCTCTGGAGAAAGTGTCGCCTAGGCGGAAGGGGCGTGTTTACCGCAGACCTGTTCTCCAGCGCCAGAGTCTCTTAGAGAGCCCGGGGGAACAGGGTTGCCAAATCCAGTACCCGGAGAAAACCTCCCCTGAGACAGTCTGGCCCACAGTCCCCCTTAGTTCCGAAAGCCCACTTCCTCCGCTAGAGCTAGCGAAGGTGTCCGGGCCTCGAGCTCTGGATGTAATGTCCAAAGTCCGTCGCAAGGTGGCAACATGGTGGCGAGAAATAGACATTAAAAATCCTGAGTGTTTTTTAAAGCATATTTTCTCTATTAATGTTTCATTTAACTTAATTAGAATCTGGTAAGCTAATTAAAGTAGCTACGAGCCCAGCAATCAGCAATAATTCGTATAATTATTGATAATTACATCCATACCAATCGTTTGGTTATTAACATTTTGGGGAGAACAAGCCATTTTGAAGTGATGCAGAGCCCAGGAGGGTTTCTATGTTTTGTGGTTTTATTTTTTGCGCGATGGAACTTTCTAGGTCGGATCCGCCTACACCTCCAGCCTCAGGGGCTCCGTACCACCCGAGGCTCCCCTTCTGGCCAGCTCCAGGTCCCTGTATGCTTGTATACTTTTTTCCTCTTTGGGGGAGTTTGGAAGGAAAGGCGAAAATGAAATGTTTGCCAGTCTCCTCTGTAAGTGTGTAAGCCATGGTGACAACTGTCCTGTCCATTTTACAGAAAAGGATTGTGTGGCTTCAGATGGTGCCTTTAGACCAGGGGAAACTCCGCGATCTGCAAGCGTGGTCCTGTCCCTGGTGTGCCTTGGGCCACTTCCGAAGTGCAGCCCAGCCGTGAGGGGGCCAGTAAGTGGGCCCTTTTCCCCTTGCCCTACATAAGCAATCCCAGGGCCCAGGAGGGTCCCAGAAGGGATGAAAGCAAGATGGGACCTCAGTTTGCCTGGCACCCTCACCACCCTTACTTCCGCCTCATCCTCTGTGGATCTCACCCTCTCAGTATCCAGGCTAAAGGTTCACAGCCCCTGCGCACGGACCAGCCTCCTGTCTCACCCATGCGTGGGGCCCCAGCATCTGCTTCTGTTCCCTATTGCTCACTGTGTCCCAGCTCGCCTGCACCGCAAGAGGCCTCCAGTGAAACTCTGGCTCCCCACCTCAGACACCCCAGAGAACTCCCGACTCGACTTCCCTTCCAAGGTCCCCCAGAGACTGCTTGGAGCTAGCCTGGAGTTCTAGTCTGAGAGTCTGGTCTTGGAGGCGACAGTTCTGTCAGCAGCCTGCAGATGGGCTTCCTTCTTGGAGCGCTTCCTTGAGCCTCAGGGCATAGACAGCCGAATGTCATTTAGTGGAGATTGGAAAGCTAGGCCCTGGAAAAAAATAATAAAGGGCACAACGCAGGACCTTTGCTAGCCAGAGGAGGCCATGAAATTTTCTGGGTCAAAAATTTGTTAAGAGAGCTCCACATTGTTTTGGGGGAGGGGTGTGTTTCCTGAAGTTTATGTTGGATGTCTGTGGCGCAACCAGCAGGTGCCTTGCAGAAGCTGAGGCTAACGGCCCCTATGAAGCTTTACACTTCTCGGCAACAGCCTGGGGAGTGTCCTGGCCTTTGCAGCTGTGGCCAGCAGACCTCACCTTCCTCACTGGGGTGCGGACAGAGCTTTCTCCTTGGGGATGAGGACAGGCCCATGGCAGGGCATCTGTTTGTGCTGGACCTCAAACTCTCACCATTTTTTCCAGATCTGTCCTGCCATTCTACAGCCTTCACTCCTCACCCCCACCTGGTCAGCACTACCGGTGCCCGCTCCAGCAAGCAGAGCAATTCGGATGAACTTGAGATTCCTAGCAGCCTGGAGACCTCTCTTGCTGAGTGCACCCCAACCTGCCGGTGACTTCATGCACAGGAGATGAAAGAGGCAAAAATTAACCTCCTGGCTGTACAGGTGAAGAACAGCCCTGCTGTTCAAGGGACCAGGCTGCTGTCCCTTTCCCCAGCCAAAGCGCCAAGTAGGTTTTAACTCAGAGGCCTCTGGGGAAAATTGGGTGTCTTTGGGTAGGTCAGTAGAGTTGTTCAGGAACCCTGTCCATCTCCTGAGAGAGCACTCTAACCTTTGCAGTGGCACCCTAACGCCTACCTCCAGTAGTATCTTCCATCAGCTCCTCCCCTCCCTCCTCCACCTCCTGGCCCACTCCCAGCTCCACAGTCCCACGTAGTAACAGCTTTTTTCCTTTTATTAAAAACAAAAGTCACGGATACAGGTCTCCCCAAATAGGCTCAAGATGGTTGCCATCTCGTGAGTCAGTTGTGTCCCTTTTTAAAGTGCTGTTACGTCACACAACAACAAAAACCACAAAGCAAAATTCAAAGAGGAATGAATGCAAAATGAGGACTGGAAAGGGGCGGGGGGGGGGGGGGGTGGTGGTGGGGCAGTAAACTAACTTACAGCGTAAATAAAGTGAACCTAATATGAACCAAGAGACTCACAGCCCGTTTATATCCATTGCACATAGCCACATTGTCCTTAGGAAGGAGAGTTTCAGAAGTGGACGGGACAGGGAGTGCGCGGCCGCAGCTGGAGAAGATGCTACATATATTCACAATCCGGGTTCCAGGCCCTGCTGGGGCCAGAGAGGTCGCCCCTCTCCCTTTTCTTTCCCCGGGTAGGTCCAGTTTACCCCTTAAGGTCTGATGCCCTGGAGTTCAAAGGAGGGGCGAGGCAGTATTTACAGTGGACACCGAGCCGGCCCGCATGGGGCCCGGCGGACAGGTGGGCGGCTGTATTTACAAGGGTCCGGTCCCAATGGCTTGTTCCTCTCTCGGCCGCCACTGCAGCGGGTATTTACAGAAGGGAGCGGAATGGCTTGAGGGCGAGTGGGCGCGGCCAGGCGGGCGCTAGGGCAGCAGCGGAGGCTTGAAGGAGCAGCTGCCGGTGCAGTGCCGGGGCGTCAGCATCTTGCAGGAGAAGTGGTGCAGGGCGTCGTGCGCTTCTGCAGAGAGAGTCGCGGAGACCTCGTCGGCTGCCTCGTCGGCTGCCTCGCCGCCTCCCCGGCCCCCAGGCCCACCATTGCCCCCTCGCGGGCCCCACTCAGCCCTCTGGGCACACGAATTCTTAATGGAGCAGAAGGGAGGTAGGAAGGCAAGAATGAGATCCCTGGCCAATCAGAACCATTCCTTAGCTCCATTAGTCCCATTTGGCAGAAGAGGAAACTGAGGCACAAGGTGGTCTAATTGTCCCAGGCCAGGGTTGAGTGAGAAAGCAAATTTTCGGATGCCCGGAGTTCAAAGGGCTCTTTCTTTCTATATCACAATTATAAAAGAATTTCCCTCATTTCATTCAGTTCCCAACTCCATTCTGATCCAAGTGGGCCCTGGCGGCCTTACTTTCCTACCTCCCATCCATCCATCCATCCATCCATCCATCCATCCATCCATCCAACAGTATAACCAGCCACCTCTCCTCTCTCTCTCTCTCCCTCTCTCTCATCTTTGATTCTGGGCTCACACCTTTTAATTTCTGCTGGATGGCATAGCGGGCCTTCCTCTCCTGGTCCAGTTCGTTACACAAGGTATCTGGAAGACAGGAAGTGCTGTGGGCAAACACAGCACCCAGCAGCCCACTGGCCCAGGTCACAGCCTCCCTCCCAGAGACACCTCTGGAGACTGAGGAGGGGAAACCAACACTTCAGAAGGCAGGCTGGGGCGGGGGGGGGGGGGAGGACACGGCCTGGGACCGAGCTTACAGGCAGCCGGATCTAACCAAAATTAAAGCAAACTTAGGCATTACTTCCCAGGTAATTTTACGCCTCGATTTTTAATTTAGAAACCGTGGAAACTGCAGCGCTAAGAAGTTCAATCACTCCACGTAATGATGCCTGCAAGCCGTTTGCTGGGCTCGCTTGCCATTCTGAGGCTAATCAGACTATACAAAGGATATTAAATAAAAAAAATAATTGTTAAATTACCTTCAATTTAAATCCAAATGGCTGAGGCAACGCGCGGCTCCTGCCAGACAGAGGCAGTTACAGCCGCACAAGCGCTCACCTGACTCCCGTCTTACCTCTGACAATTTGCAGCTGTTGCACCATTTCTTCCCGATAAGCCAATTCCCTCTTCATTTGATCCTGAAAATTATCTGTGCAAATTGATTAAGTGAGAGCTGTTAAGCACAGCCTCCTCTTGCAGCTCCACTCCGCGCTCCCTCCCATCCTCATCCCTACCCCCACCGCATCCAGGCCTTCACCTAGCTGGAAACGCTGAAGCTGGGGTCCTTCTCTCCCCGGGGCTGTGGCTTTGGGAGGCTGCTGTGGGGTGGGAAGGAAGGAAGGAAGTACCTTTGAGACTCTGGAATTCTCGCTCCAGCTTCTTCCGAAGCTCCATTTGCTCCAGAAGCAATTTCTGCAATTCTTCTGTGAAGAATTGGGAGAGAGCTAAAGCGAAGACTGAGGAAATCTGGGAGCCAAGGTTCTGCCTGACACTTGAGCAGAGGCCTTCTGCACTCTGGCTTTTTTCATTGGAACCCCAAGATTTTGATGGAAGATGGGGAGCTATGGGGTAGTCCCAGGATATTCAAATTCACGAGGGTAGGAACTCGCATGCCTGGGCCTGGCTCCAGGGAATAACTGGGGCCTGGCATCTGCTTTAAGTTGCTCCCCAACCACAGAGGATGACCCACAAACACCATTCCCCATTTCAAATGAGACTCCAGAGTTCTACTCTAGAGGCAATTCAGGGAGAATCTGATCAAATCCAGGGGCAGCCTTCCCAGAGAAAAAGCCAAAAAGACACACACAGAAAGTTTGTCTACAATTTCCTGGGCTGCTTAGATCCCCAGACACAGTCAGGTAGAACACCAGTGGTTCTGATGTGGTGTATCCGATAAACTCTGAACTTGGGGCCAGCAGCCCGTGGCTGCTTCCACCCTCAGTTGGAAGCCCAGTTTTTAAGACCTTCCGTTGGCGGGTGTGGGGAAGGCTCAGCTCAAGGCCCCAGAAGCCTGTTTGGGAGGACTGGGAAGACAGGCTGCCCCCAGCAGGGAGCCACTAGTATCTGTCTCTCCCCCCCAAAAAAGGCTCCTCTGCAACCCAGGAACAGAAGGTGGAGAGCCAGAGGGGCCTTCTAAACCACTGTCTTAGGCCACTTCCCTCCGGCGGGACTGGGCTGCAGCAGGAGGGGGGGTGTCCTGTTCTACAAGTGGGCTCCAACCTTACTGCTTAGCTTCGTGAATTCCAGAGGGAAAAGTAGCCTTTGCCGCATTCCTGAAACAAATGTCTGCCTGCCTGCCTGCCTGCCATCTTGTTCAGAAAAAGTTGTTTTTCTTGCGGTTTGAGAGGCCCGAACTGTCCACAGGTTACAAGCTCTGAGAATTAAGGCCCTTTCTTTCTCATTGGGCCCTTGGAGACAGACTCAGGTCTCGGAACCCAAACTTCCGTAAACTTACTGGGGCTGGTTCACTCTCTCGCTCACACGGACCTGCGCCAGGTGCCCACGGTTATTTTTTTCTCCGGATGAAATGAAAACCGACACCTCCTCCCCAGCTGTGCCACACACCCCTCCCATCCACCTCAAGCCCCTCACGGCTCCACTTCTCGCATTTGACCTCACCTCTGGCCAGATTTTCAATATCTTTCTCCACCATCTGAGTTCCTGTGACATCCAAACTGAGCCCATCTTCACCTAAGGGTGCAAAGGGCCGACAGAGGGGGTCTGTCCCTGCTACTTTCCTACCTCCCCACTAATTTTGGGAGAAGGAAAGTGAGTTCAGGAAGCACCCTCATTCACTCAGGTGAATGAGGCCTTTCCTCCTCCCGTTTCTTTCAGCAGCCCCCTTACTCAGAAGACCCGCCAAGCCAACAAGGAAGAAACAAGTCCTGAAACCCGGCCTGCACCTCTCCACAGCATTAACTATCTGCTCAGTGGCATCATTTGCCCTTGATTAAAACCTTCCTCCAAGCGTGCGGTGACCCGGATGAGCTGGACCTCAGCTCGAGGCCACGGGTGCGAGCCAGGACTGGGGCTCACCTCGATCTGTATTTGCAGGGCTTGGCTGGGAGACTCTCCTTTGGTCTGAAAAGGATTTCCTGGTTTCCAAGTCGTCGGCTGTGGTCGAGTGATTGTCTTCCTTATCTGGCTCTAAGAGGCAGACCGAGTTTCAAGGAGAGGCAAAGAAACGTGACCCGGATACTGCAGAGCGGCCTCGGTTGGGGCGCCCAGGTCCTAATTAAAAATGTCGCGGCCGCCTCTGCTTCCCGGCTGTGCGCCCAGGCGCGCCCCGAGGCTGCAGGCCCCGCAGCCCTCCCCACACGCGGCCTGCGCCGTGCCGGCTGCGCGCCCCCGCCCCAGCCTTTGGCCCCCAGGAAAAGATCAGGACCAGCAGCTGAGCCCACCGGGGACGAGCGACCTACATCGTGCTCGCAGATACTGGGGCGCCGGGAGGGCGCGCAGCCGCCGGGTTTGGAGTCGGTGGAGCAGGAGTCCACTGTCCCGCACACCGTCACCCCGTCACCCCGCTCTCCCTCTGCCAAATGCAAACGCAGGGCTGCCTGCTCCCTGATCGGGGCTGCGGCCACCCCGAGCTTCTGGGGTACCCGAGCCGCAGCTCCCAGCTCCCACCCTGCGCCCCATCAGGCCTGGCCACCACGCAGCCCAAGGCTAGTTTCTAGATAAAACGAAAGGGCCTGAAAGAGATGCCAGGCAGGCATAGGGCTTCTGTTCGGTTCTGTTCTGTTTTAAGGCTTGAACCTCCGAGAAGGCGTTCTGGAGTGTGTGCGCCTGTGGGAGTGCGGAAGGCGGGTTGTGGTTGTTTGTAAGCAGCCAGACCCTGAGCCTTGGGAGTTCACACTTGCTTTCCTCGTTCTTCTATTGTTTTTCTTCCCCCGCTCGCTCTCTCCTTTTCTCTAAGCTCTCTTCTCGCCTCCTCCCTTCCCTAAATGGCCCGCCCTGGCCCCGGGTTCTGTCTGCGCTGCCTGCCTTAGGAGGACCGGAGGCCTGGGGAGGCCTTACCGTGGGCCTCCGGGGCGCAGAGGAACGAGGCCGCGGGCCCCAGCGCCGCCGCCGCGCTCTTCACGTGCTCGTCCCTCTCGGCGTACACCTGCGGCGGCCGAAAGCGACAGGGTTAGGGGGTCCCTGTCCGGGACCAACAGGAAGGCGGGGGCCGGCGGAGCTGGGGGCCTGCGCGGCGGTGGCGTGACCGGGGTGGGTTTGGGGTCATCTGCGGCACTCCCAGGGATTTGCTTAAACACAAAGCGGGAAGCCGGCGTTCTGTGCTCGCCCCTCTCCGTGCGTTCCCTCCCCTCCCCAGGGCCGCCTTCCCCGCGGGCCAGGGTCCCCGGTCTCCTAAGCCCCGCTTAGGTGTGCAGGTGTGCTGGCCGCTCGCGGCCACCCGGCCCTCGGCCACCGCCGGCCGCCCGCCGAGAGCTGCGGGGTCCCCGGGGCGAGAGCTGGGGGATCGGGAGACCCAGTCTGGAGGCCCCTCTTGGCGGGAGACCCTCTCCCGGGCCCCTCCGCGGCCGCTCCTGGGCGTCACCCCGCTCCCACGGGGCCCGGCCTCCAGCGTGCTCTCTCCGGTTCCGGGCGCCCTCTCGACCTCTCCCTTCCTCCCGAGCCTTTGTCTCCCTCCCGGACGCCCAGCCGTCCCTGCAAGTCTCCCCCGCTCCCGCACCATCTCTGCAGACGGAGCTCGCTCGCGGCCTCTCGGGCCTGTCCTCCCGGGTTCTCCGAAGCGCTCCGGCCCGGGTCCCAGCGAGCCCACGGCATGCCCCGAGCTGGGGCCGCGGCGAGCGGCCGGGACCCTCTGCTCCCGGGTCGAGCAGAGCACACCCGGCCCCGGGGCGGGCCCGCCGTGCAAACAGGGGCCGGGAGCTGCGGGGGCGTACTCACCTTGGCCGCCGCGGGGCCTCCCGGGGGCGCGCAGGGCTCCCGCGTCTCGTAG